ATTGTAAACATGTATATTTACCTTCTTACTAAGACTTGGATGAGGTTGTTTAACTGGACAGAGTCAGTGTAGTTGTTTCTGCTGATAGGAAAAACGATCTAAGCCAAAGGGGGTGTATCCAGAGCCAAGCCACGTACTTATCAGTCACTTGCCTCAAAGTTAGGAAAATTGCGACACCAGCTTTGCATGAATTCACCCATCATAGCTGGATGTTACTGACTTTTCTATGGTCTCTGCTCACTTCCTCTTTGGATGCGTTTTTTTAAGGCTAACAAACCAGTTTCCCCAAATATAACCTGTTAGACAAGCATCGCTTTATGCCAGTCGTGCTCTTAAAATATATCCTAGTGACACGTTTTTGTTTTGCCTCACTAGCTTTACTTTAGTTTCTTTCATCAATAGGATCCTCATTAACTCTTACTGTTTTCATATTTAAGTATGGCTTCAGGAAAAAAGAGTCAAATTTAATGTGATTAATTTTGTCGTCACCAGGTTATGATATCTTTGAGAGAGATTCTGTCAAGGACTCAGTTTCTGGGTCTCACGTCGCCTCCAGCTCAGGGAATCCGCCTCTACGCCTGGGCTGCTTCTACATGTTGGTGTTTGTGCCTATCACCTGTGCCCTGCTCCAGCTGGTGGCCTGGTCTCGCTTCACGCTTCATGGCCGCAAGCTGCAAGGGATCAAAGCCCTGCGGCAGGGGGCCCAGCAAGGCCACCTTATCGATGTCAAGGCCATATGAACTGTTGGGCGAAGTTGCACATGGACACTTTTACGTCATTAGCTTTTACAGTCCTTTTTGATAATGTCTTAGAAGAAGATGAGCTGCTCCGCCCTTTTTCTGCAGCTTGGCCTTCTGTGCAATAAACTCTTACAGATCATGTGGCTTTGTGTACAGTGGAAAATGCACAGCGGGCTCACTAATCCATGTGGAAATGAACATGTTGAAATCTGCCTTATTCTTTTTATATTAAAATAATAAAGTATATTTATATTTGAACCGATGACCAAAACATCAGTAAAACCAATCAATCTTTTGGACCAAGGGGAGAAGAGATCGGGTGCCCTCTTTACGTGTAATTCTGGTGTTGAGCGCAGTCTGAACGTCTTTGCTGATCTTTAAATTGTCAGCACCGTCAGCCTGTTTGGAAAAGCAAAAGGAGGGTAGGTTTACAACAGAGCTCCGGTTCTGATTTCTAACTTTTCTTAACAAGTTGATGAAGAATTTCCAATGTAAGTACGTTGTGTTGAAAGTGCTGTTGATACTGCATGAAAACACAAGTTGATCATTTTGCTGTACATGTTTCACACAGAATGCCACTTTGATGTTGAGAACTGTATTTTGTAATACGTCAGTATTGATGATGCATTTGCACAACACTGCCGTTCGTCCGTTGTACTTCTAACATTTTACTTTTAGTCCTGTGGTGATGGAAACTGAAACAAGGAAATTATGCCAGTAGCCACTCACTCAATTCTCTTTTCAATTGTTTTTTTCCAGACGATTACCGTACAAAGAATGTGAGACAGTGCCACAAATAAACCTCTGTGTTGAGAGTTAATCAAACTCTTTATTTTAAATTGGGAGTTATTCTATGTTCTTTACTACACAACAAACTTGAAATAAAAACCTTAACAGTGTGATGAACCATTCGCAGTTTAAATACACACCAAAAAGTTTGCATATGAAAATCATTTATAGCCCTGTCAGGCAAAGGTCACTGCTGTTAATTTGAAGATAACTGGGTCAAGTATTTCAGCTTTAAAGACATCCCTTAATGCCTTTCTTGATTTCTGAGCTACTGAAAATTTTGCATTTGATTTCATTTGTTGTACTTTGTTAAGAAGACATCGCCCTGAATTTGGGATAATTTTTTGTATATTCTGGTGAACTAATCTACTAAGCTAACTAAGCTATTTCTCTTTCAGGAAAAAAATCTATTCATCTATATCTATACATTCACTTACTGCACATTCACTTACTTTCCATCCATGACAAACTTGGATTTTTTCCATACTGAAGTACTGGGCCCCTGATTTTCTTGTGCTTGTGTGATACTTGAACAGTAACCAGGCAGATAACCTCAAAGCTTAATCAGGATTTATGATCGTAAAATGAAATGTACATAGGACATAAGCTGAAATTAGTGCAGTTGAAACATTGATTTTTTTTTAGGGTTCAAAATAGAAATAGAATAGAAAAGTATATTCATATTTTTGTGATAGGAAGGGCCGGAAACACCCCAGAGTCTCCATTGGAGGATCAAACAAAAAAGATTTTGATCGCTAAAAGTGTTTCTTACGCTATTTGTTTTGTTTTTTAACCGTTTAACTTAAAAGGAGGGGGGCGGTTAGCTGTGCGAAGACGGAAGTAGTAGGAAGGACTTCTCTCGTTCCAAAGCCCATCCTAACGGTGTGTTGCGCCTGCGTAAACCTTTTTCCTATTTTTTGCACTTATTTTCCTTATTTCTAATCACGTAATAATTAAGTTAGTCACAGTATCGTTTCTGCTCAGTTACAGACCTAGCAAAGCTTCCCGAGTGCAGTATTTTAGCCTGAAATAGAATATTACCCATCATGCATCGGGCCTAGTACGCCAACTCCTTTTAAACCTACGTTTTCGCTCTAAAGCAATTCATATAGATTTTTTAAATATATATAAAGTGTTTTGTATATTTATATAAACTAGATCCCAAAGTACAGTAGTCAAACTATGCACGTTTGAGTTCAGCTCAACGACACCGTGAGTGTAATGAGTATGTCGGAAAATCACACCTCCCCGGGTCGCTACATTCAGTAGTACGCTCATGTTTCTCTTCAGATCGTATAAATCTTTCGCCTTTTACTAAAGATTTCCGTGGAGAGGAACAATATGAGTTATAACTAATTTTTTGATGCCCTGCTTATCGCGGGGCTTCTGTACTTGTGAAAAAATACTATACGTTGCTTAGCATAATAACGTTCCCCGGCGTTTGAGTGAACTTAATGCGGAACTATCTATATCAGTAAGTAGCATTAACCGACAATGTTGTAGTTCCGGATCATCCGAATTTGACTTGCTTTGAACTTACAAAATGATTCTTATCTTTCAGGAGCACATTTGAATTTTCTCTCTAGTACAAATGCTAACAAAAATGTGAATAAAAATATAAATTATGGCTCATAATTGCAAGCCTCACCTCTTCAAGATGTCTTTACCAGAAGCAAACTAAGCAATCAACATATAAAGTAGATTAAAACTGATGGATTTAACGCAATTGATAATGCTGATTTTAAACAAAAACAACAAATTACTTTAAAACGCATTCAACAACAGACTCAAAACCTTTAAAAAAAATTCACAGGCATTTATTTAACAACTGTGTTACCTTACTAAAGGTTTGTTTGTATTGCTTCACACACTGAAGACCTAGATAGTTTTTGATGTCTTAATTTTTATTGTTACCACATTGAGCACGTGTGTAAGGAAATATGCAACATAAAACCGACACCGACGGTATTTTTGAAGATGTGAGTGTATTCAGTGTCTAATGTAATCCACAGAAATATGATTGCCTTGGATCTACTTCAAATCTCGTGTCTTTTTTCTTTCCTCGGTTCTGTATAAACACGGTTTAAATCGGTTTATAAGAGAGATTCACAGTTTAGTCCAGTTCAAATCTGCGAATAAGACAAAATAAATAAGTAAGGAAAGCATCATTTGGACTTAGATGTGTATTTTATTTAACCTAAAATTCCAGCAGAGGGCGTACTTGGTTTTAAAGATATACACATGAAGCTACAACTACACACATAACTACCCTGCTTTTCTAAAGTATTGTCTTATGATCCTATTGGTAACATACTCTATTAAGTTTAAAAGATTTCATTTTTGCATTCCCATCACATACATAAAAAATCAAACTATATTTGTTATTTTCAATAAGAAAAGAGTTAAACTGTCCTTAAAACTCTATGTTTACCACGTTTATTTATTCACAGTGTTTGCAAAATATTATGGCAGACTGAGTCAGCACTTGGTCGGACAATCCCATTGGCTTTTTGTGAGCAATTTTCTGTGAAAACAAAGCAAATTTAAAGAAAACACTGGGAAGTGTGGTTAAAGTCAGACTTCCCATTTCTCGTGGCTTTTGTGCTGTAATGCCTCACCATTTGCTTCTTTCGGTGCATTCGCAGAGGCACACAGAACAGGAAATAAGAGGGAGGCAAACGAGCAGAAATGATACATGTAAGCAGCAGGTTGAGCTCCGGCTGTTTAGATACTTAGGTGCCGCTTCAAGGCTGCGAGACTGAAAAACTACTGTCGGGGAATGCCGGGAGGCAGAGATGAGGCAAGTAAACCAATTTTAACTTATAAAGTGTGAAATTCAAGGGTTAGGTTTGATTTTATTGTTGAATGTTGAACTTTAAAATATGCCAGAAGACAAAATATGAGAATTTTACCCATGTTGGTTAACTTTTTCCCCCCATTATTTATAATTTTGCATTTTTATGTGCCTTGAGTGTATGTATGATTTGGCATTATGGAGTTTCTTTTAAAAAGCAGTGTATAAGGATTTTAACAATACGGCTAGCACTATTAGCAATACGACTGTCTTTTGTGGTTTTATTTTGTTTTTAGTATGACTAAATTTGTTGTTTAAAATGTGCTTCAGAAGATAATAAAAAGCAGTAAACATTCAGAGTCCTCCGTAGCAAAAACATAGCCTTTAACAGGCAAACTGAGATTGCTGAGTGACGTCTGCCTGACGCTGAGACGAGGACGGTGCAGGCTTCCTGTTTTGTGGCTAAGCAATTACTCAGTCTGCTGCTCAAGCTCAAGTTTAGGTTGAAGTTGCTCTGCAGCAAATGGAAAGCAACTTCCATTTCCTGTCTAATTCTGCGCACACACATAGAGGCTTTTATCTCTGCCAGCCTTTTGCTCATTACTCTAAACTGGAACTGCATTAGCCTTTCTGGTAAATCAGTATTAACATAATAATGTCAAACACTAACCATGAATGGATTATTGGACAGGCAGACATGGGTCCAAGTGCTTTGAGTGCTCAATGAAAGAAGAAAAAGAATATAGATGTTACAGCTATGTAGCATTATTTTTATCAGGTCTTAAAATTAGAGAAATACAACCTCAGATGAACAACAATGCACCCATATCACATTGTTTATTAAACACTAATCCAAAATGAGGAAAAATATGGAAAACTACATAGACTTAATAGCTTTTGAATGCTTTTCTGTATCACTCTGTTTTTTAAAGCATTGTGGTGAAAATTTGGCCCACTTTCTGTTTATACACAGCCCTCCCGTCATTGCATCTTAATCAGTTTGAGGTCTGCTCTTTGACTAGACCATTGGAATGTTTTCGTGTTTTCAGCCATTCTGTTGAGTAAATTTGCTGCTGTGCTTGGGAGCGTTGATCTGTTGCATGACCCACTTTCAGACAAGCTTTATCTATCGGACAGATGGCCTCACATCTGACTCTAGAATACTTTGGTGTACAGAGGAGTTCTTGGGTGACTCAGTGACTGTGAGGTGCCCAAGCCCAAATCCTCATCCATCTACCTCCGTGCTTGACAGTTATGAGATGTTTGTGCCCATTTATTTGGTTTTCCCAAACGTGATGCTATGCACAATAGCTAAACATCTCCGCTTTGGTCTCATCTGTCCAAAGGACATTTTACCTAAAGTCATATTGTTTGGTCAGATGTAACTTTTCAAATCTAAGCCACATTGCTGTGTTCTTTTTTAGAGACAAGAGGCTTTCTTCAGGCAACCCTTCCGAAACAAGGCATACTTGTTCAGTCTTTTTCTAATTGTACTGTCATGAACTTTAATATTTAAGCCCTTAAAGCCGGACATTTGAATTCATTCCCAGAAAATTCGAATTGGAGAGTTTATTGAACTATCTGACAAATTTGATTAAATAATTTCTTGAAATTTAATTTCCTTATATATGGCTTTTAATTTGTTTGTTCTTTTCTTTTCTTTTCCTTTTTTAAATGTCTTAGAATTTGATTGAGGAAGTATTTTAAGAGAATAAAGGACTCTAATGATGTAGAAGTCTCAAAAGCACACAAAGATTGGATTGTATCAAATATGTTACACTAGGTGTTAAGGGGATTGAATCTTTTCCACTTGTGAGTAATCTCTCTTACTGTAGAATGGTGTTGTTTGGAAATGGCCGTATAACCCTTCACAGACTTGGCAGGAAGTCCTAAGAGTGTGTCTAATTTTTTTACGCACTGCAGCTGCATTTTGTGACTGTTTGTCAGATAAACAATGACACAGCGTAGGTGTCATGTGTTGTTGTGCATCTGATGTTGTATTTCCCCAAGAAATACAACATCATCACCATGATTCTAAGCAGTAGTTCATTTCCTTTTTACCAATTGTGTTGGGTTGTCAGAGCAAAAAAGCCCACAACCAACACACACTAAGCACTTAAGTGTTATGAAGACATGCAAAAAATAGTCTCCTCTCTCTCT